ACTCCAGCGTGAGATGTCCTACAGGTCTGGGCTGTGTTTCTCAAAAGCATCGTGAGCTGTAAGTTGATTGGTGGCAATAGTTCAACGGTCTACTTAGGGTTACGATGCTTTTGGGAAACACAGCCCTGGTGTGTTAAATTCGTTAATATATATATATATTTTCATTTTTTATTGCACCTTTACCAACCACTGGGTGGATTTTTATCATTTTAGGGTGGTTGTGTACACACTGCCAACACATATTTCAGTTCAAACTACTTGTAAAAGTGCATATAGCATTATAAGACCTCTTTAAATAAAAAGTTGCCAGCCACCACCAGCATTTTTGATCATTTTCACTAAGATTTCATGGCCTCCAAAATATTTTGTTGTATGAATATCGGAGCATACAATACATCAAAATAAAGAACAGAGCCTCTACATTTAAACATAAAAAAAAATCAGTTTTATTCTAGCTTCAAGTGTTCTTTTTTTGTCAACACTTAAATGTAGGTAAGCTACATAAAAAAAAGCAACATTTTGATCAAAAAGCATTTTTAGCAAAGACTACATTCTGGATCATATTCAGTTCTATGATCAAAGCATGGATGCAGTAGATCGCTTCCATCAACACCCCGAAAGCTTCACAGTCCTTTACCACTTCCGGGATCGACATTTCACTCGCTAACATTAGCAAGTTTTCATTTATATGCTGTTTATAGTTGATTATTGCATTATTTTTCATATGCATCTGCTTACATATGCTCGTTTCTGCATCTTCCTCGCCTGTGTTTTTGATCGGGAGATTCTGGACTCATTCAGGAGATGTGTAATAGCGCCCCCGAGCGTATACCAGTGAAAACACAGAAACCAGGAAAAATTCTGTGTTTGGCAGGGAAGGAGTTAATATTTACAAGTAAATCCACAATTGTGACCATGGAGCACAAAACTGGTCAATTTTTTTAAATGGATGAATAAATAAGCTTTCCATTGATGTATGGTTTGTTAGGATAGGACAATATGTGGCCGAGATACAGCTATTTGAAAATCTGGAATCTGAGGGTGCAAAAAAATTTAAATATTGAGAAAATTGCCTTTAAAGTTGTCCAAATGAAGTCCTTAGCAATGCATATTAC